CGCGTAATGAACGGCATACATGTGTGATTGAGGTGTGCACAGCCGATGAAGCACAAGCAGACATGTTAAATTACAGGAGGCATCAGACTGAGACAGACGGGGTGGGGGTGGGGGGGGGGGGGGGGGCTGTCAAAGTGTCTGACTGTGTTTGGCTGGGGGTTGTTTGACCATGGGGTTGACTGGGCTGCAGCTCTGATATCTGGCACGATTTGGCTCTGGTCCGACTGGAGACTGGCCAGAGGCTGACTGACGGGGAGGGGGTGGGGGTCCCCTTCCCCTCCGGTGGACTCGCCTCTGGAGTGAGGCAATAAGAAGCGGCTTATAAAATAAGCAAACACAGAGGCAGCTTTCAGACAAACCATACAGCCAACCGGGGATGAGCTGCAGACTAATGACGCGCGCGCGCACACACACACACACACACACACACACACACACACACACACACACACACACACACACACACACACACACACACACTGCAGCGGTGACCCCCTTCCCCCCTCCTTCTCTAACCTTGACCCTTGAGGTCCTTCTTAACCTATTTCTGAATGGAAGCCCGTGCAGCTGGGGTGTCTAGCCATGAAGCAACCACAACCCCCTCCCTCATCCTCAAGCTTGTTCCCACGCTTCACCACTGAGATGCTGTCTCTTCATCTGAACGTTTCCACCTAATATATCATGTGGCTGCTGTTGCTGCATCATTTGCCCATTTCTACTGGACACAGCGATACGACAGACGCGTGTTCAGTTTGTAACTGTAAATATGGTAGTTTAAAAAATTATGACATTTTTGATTAAATCTTAAAAATATTTTCCATTGCGATCTCATGTAATATTGCAAGATGTTAAATTATTTGAAAATGTAGCTGAAAGCTATTCATTTGAAAGAGCTTCTAGTGAAAATGGCTTCCATGACTGATTTCCGCCAGGATCACTGTATCACTAGTGTCTTCCTCATTTTATTTCTAGCTTGTGTTTATTGTGTTTGATTGTGTGAAAGGTGCGTTTTAAATATTCATTTACTAACGGCGTGAAGATTACTCTTACCTACACTACATTTGAGGTCAAACTCCGACAAACTGATTGCATTGCTGAGTTTTTGCTCCTATTTAAATTTGTATTTTCCACATTTTACCAAGTTTTGCTACCTGTGTTTGTTTTACCTGTTTAGTGGTGCAAGGTGACTTGGTGACAACAAAGAACTATTATTCTGTTCTATTCTATTCTAAACTGTCAAAGTTGGGGTAATCAGCTGTTTCTTGATACCAAAGCACTCTAGTACATTCTCACATACTTCATTTCATTCAGACATCATTTGGATCAGAATCGTTTCCTGTTACATCATGGCAACAAGCGCTGCTACATGCTACAGTTACCTAAAATAAAAATAAGTTTAGTTCTTTCCATAACAAAATAATGACTACATTATATATATATATATATATATATATATATATATATATATATATATATATATATATATACATACATATATATGTATAAATGTATAGATGTATATGTATATGTACATACATATGTATATAAGTATATGTCATGTTAGCGTTTAATTTTCTAACCCACATGCAGAATCAGAGCCGGGAGACAAAGGTAAGAGACAGTAATGATATTTATTAAACAAGGGGATGACAGGTGAGGCACTCTCGAGGAAGCTCTGATGTACGGGGCAGAATTTTATGGTGGAGAGGTGTAGATGCAGAGGAGAGGGTAGGTCTGGCCTGAGGTGGAGAGGAGCTCAAAACAGGGTCCAAGCCTCAGAGACGAGGAATAAAGACGATGACGTGTCCAAAACATTAAGCGAGGCAGGTGGGGGGAGAGAGAGAGAGAGAGCGGGTCGGCTGGCTGAGCAGATGAGACGATGTGGAGAAGAGATCCATTGGTTATGGATGGAGAGATGATGTAGAGTGATATCCTAACGAGTTAATCATCCAACATCGTGTAGGTCTCTGACTGCTCCTCATGTAGTCCGCCGGTGATTGCAGCTGAATGGCTGCAGCAGGGCAGCTCTCCGGCACCGCCCACCTGCAGGAGAAGGGTAAGTGTGGGGAACGATATACCTCAGGCCATGACAGCACCCCCCACCCACCAAGAGGCGCCACGCGGCGGCCCCGAGAAGGAGGAGGAGGCACGAGAAGCCTCGAAGTCACGGACCAACGACTGGTAATCAATCCAGGAACGGGGAATCCATTGCCGGTGTTCAGGTCCATAGCCCTCCCAGTCGACGAGATACTGGAACCCCCGACCCCGAGGGCGGACGTCCAGGAGGCGTCGGATCTTGTACCCCAAGCCCCCACTGGCGAGCTGGACCGGAGGTGGAGGGTCAACCGGAGGACACAGCGGGCTTGACTCGACGGGCTTGAGCAGTGAGACATGAAAAACTGAGTTTTCAGAGACGAGGGGAGGCCGAGTCAGAAACAGGTGGGGTTGATGACGGCCGAGATGGTGTAGGGGCCTATGAACCTAGGCGACAACTTCTTGCAAACAGCCTTGATAGAAATGTCTCGTGTGGAGAGCCAAACCTGTTGACCGGGAGTGTAGGAGGGCGCCGGCCGCCTATGCCGGTCTGCCAGATGGCAGTTGCTATCAGCAGTCCTTTGCAATGCGGCCCTCGTGTGCGTCCAGATGCGACGTGCGCCTCGAATGAACTGCGGGATGGAGATCGGTGACTCAGATGGAGAGGATGGGAACAGAGGGGGTTGATAACCGAGTGTGATCTCAAACGGAGAGTAGTTCGTGGAGGAGGAGGTGTGGACGTTGTGTGCATACTTGATCCAGGGAAGATGCTGACACCAACTAGAGGCAACATGGCTTCCAGCTCTTGATTCATGTGTTTGCACTGACCGTTAGTTTGGGGGTGGTATCCTGAACTGAGCGCAACTTGGGCTCCCAGACTAGCAGCAAAGTCCTTCCAGAGTCGCGACAGGAACTGGGGACCACGGTCAGATACGATCTCCGTCGGGGTGCCATGGAGCCTGAAGACATGCTTTATCAAGAGCTGGGCCGTTTTGATGGAGCTGGGAAGGTGCTTGAGTGGTACAAGATGACAGGCCTTAGAAAAGCGGTCCACAATGGTCAATATATACCATACCATACCATACCATCTTTATTTATAAAGCACATTTAAAAACGGCATGGCAGCCGACCAAAGTGCTGACACTCATACCTTGAGATGGGGGAAGACCAGTCACAAAATCTAGAGCAATATGTGGCCAGGGTCTAGAAGGAGTGAGAAGGGGTTGAAGTAGCCCGAACGGAGACCGTGTGCTGCTTTTGTTTCGAGCACAGGTGTGACAGGCCAAGACGTACTCCCTGACATCGCGGTACATGAGGGGCCACCAATAGGTTCAGTGTAAGAGGGCCAGTGTTCTACCAACCCCTGGGTGGATGGAGAACCTCGCTGTGTGAGTCCAGTGTATTAGAGAACCCCTGCAAGAAATTGGAACATAAGTCTTATTGGGAGGCACAGTACCTAGACCGAGGTTGTTCTTGTGGGCCTCCTCAATCTTCTCTTGGACCTCCCAGCTTACGGTCCCAATAATGACTGAGGGAGGAAGGATGGTTGTGGGCTCTGTGAGGAAGGATGGTTGTGGGCTCTGTGTTGGTATCTGAAGAGAACTGCCTGGATAATGCGTCGGGCTTAGTGTTTTTGGATCCGGGTCTGAAAGAAATCACAAAGTTGAACCTGGAAAAGAACAGAGACCACCTGGACTGGTGAGGGTTAAGCCTCTTGGCTGTCTTTAGGTATGAAAGGTTCTTGTGATCGGTCCAGACTATGACCGGGTGCTCGGAACCCTCCAACCAGTGTCTCCATTTATCAAAAGCCATCTTGATGGACAGCAGTTCCCGATCTCCCACATCATAATTGTGTTCTGCAGGCATCAGTCAACGGGAGAAAAAAGCGCAAGGGTGCAACTTGTTGTCTGAGAGGCAGATCTGAGATAAGACTGCTCCCACCCCGGTGTCAGAAACGTCCACCTCTAGGGTAAATTGCCTCAAGGGATCAGGACGGGTGAGTACTGGGGCGTTGGTGAAGAGGAACTTGAGTTCAGAAAAAACGGTAGCAGCAGAAGGGTTCCAAACGAAGGGCTTGTTTATGGAGGTCAATGCAGTGAGGGGTTCAGCAGTTTGGCTGTAGAAATGCAGTTCTGCGACATAAATTGGCAAAACCCAAGAACCATTGCAGCTGTTTCCGGGTAGTTAGTACAGGCCAATCCAGCACTGCCTGAGCCTTCTCAGGGTCTGCTCTCAGCCGCCCGCTCTCAATGATGAACCCCAGGAATCTCATGGCTGGAGCGGGGGACTCGCACTTCTCCCCTTTTACATATAGTCGGTTCTCCAAGAGTCTCTGTAAGACGGCTCGTACATGTTGACAGTGCTCCAACATGGTTTTTGAGAAGATGAGTATATCATCAAGGTAAACTGTTACAAATTTATCAATGAAGTCGACCAGCACAGAGTTCACCACTGCCTGAAATACAGCGGGGGCATTAGTTAACCCGAAAGGCATCACAAGATACTCAAAATTACCTAGTGGAGTCTTAAAAGCGGTCTTCCACTCATCTCCCTCGCATACTCGAACCAAATGATAGGCGTTGCGAAGATCTAACTTGGTAAACACAGTAGCATTCTGAACTGGCTCGAAGGTGGACGACAGCAATGGTAAGGGATATTTGTTCTTTATCGTGATCTGGTTAAGACGCCGATAATCTATGCAGGGACGAAGGGAACCATCCTTCTTTGAGACAAAGAAAAACCCAGCTCCTAGGCGGGAGGTGGAAGGTCTTATAATTCCTGAGGTTAATGATTCTGAGATGTTTTTCTCCATGTATTCATGTTCGGGTTTGAGCAAGTTGTAAAGGCGACTAGAAGGTAAAGTGGCTCCCGGAAGTAAATCAATACCACAGTCAAAAGCTCGGTGTGGGGGGGGGGGGGGGGGGGGGGGGGGGGGGTAGAGATGAGGCATTATCCTTACTAAATACCTGAAGGAGATTGTGGTAGTCGGGAGGAACTCCTGATAAGTCTGGTTGAGTAACTGGGGGGCTAGGCTGGTCCGAGGTGGTCACCGTGGCTGCTTGAAGACAGGTGTTGAAACAGCGGGAACTCCAGGACTCCACACTACTTGTTCTCCAGTTAATGTGTGGGTTATGGGTGACGAGCCAAGGGTGACCAGGAGACTGGGGGGATGGAAACACAAAAAACGTTAACTGTTCGTGATGATTACCATAAATTCAAAGGGGAATGGGTATTGTCTTATGGGTGATGGGAGAGAGAGGATTTCCATCCAAGGAGGAGGCCTGTAAGGGTGTAGGTAGAATGAGTGGGAATTTGGAGTCGGTCCACAACTGCTTGATCCACAAGGTTTTGCTCCCTTCCAGAATCCACTAGAGCTCGAAAGGGAAGGCTGTGCTGAGAGAAGGAGACAACACAGGAAAGTAAACACCGAGATAAACTGTACGCACTTGCACCCACCCGAAATCCCGGTTTTACTGGTGGGTTCTCCCTTTTGGCTGGTCTGGACATTGAGAGACGAAATGTCCAGACTGTCCACAATAAAGGCAGAGTCTAGAGGACATTCGCCTGTTTCTTTCCTCCAGGCTGAGTCGGTGGTGGTGGAGCTGAACACTGCTCATGCAGATGGCAAACTGCCGTATCTAAATTGTGCAGATGCTGATTAGTCAGAGACAGCTGTTCAAGTAAAGTACGCAGTGTGGAGTCATGTTCGTGGAGAATTTCGGAAATTCTGGATGGCACATATTCTGCAAGGTTAGCTGATTGGTCGGATGATTCTGTCATGTTGGCGTTTAATTTTCTAACCCACATGCAGAATCAGAGCCGGGAGACAAAGGTAAGAGAAAGTAATGATATTTATTAAACGAGGGGATGACAGGTGAGGCACTCTCGAGGAAGCTCTGATGTACGGGGCAGAATTTTATGGTGGAGAGGTGTAGATGCAGAGGAGAGGGTAGGTCTGGCCTGAGGTGGAGAGGAGCTCAAAACAGGGTCCAAGCCTCAGAGACGAGGAATGAAGACGATGACGGGTCCAAAACATTAAGCGAGGCAGGTGGGGGGAGAGAGAGAGAGAGAGCGGGTCGGCTGGCTGAGCAGATGAGACGATGTGGAGAAGAGATCCGTTGGTTATGGCTGGAGAGATGATGTAGAGTGATATCCTAACGAGTTAATCATCCGACGTCGTGTAGGTCTCAGACTGCTCCTCATGTAGCCAGCCGGTGATTGCAGCTGAATGGCTGCAGCAGGGCAGCTCTCTGGCACCGCCCACCTGCAGGAGAAGGGTTAGTGTGGGGAACGATATGCCTCAGGCCATGACAGTATATGTATATGTATATGTACACATGTATATATATATATATATATATATGTATATATGTATATATATATAGACTTCATTATTCATATTTTTAATGTAAAAACACTACAGTTATGTGCTTTTTCCTCTGCAATTTTCCATTTGAGGTATAACAGTTTGCGATGCAATGCATTATGGGCCACCTTGCAGACCCAAGTCTGCAGAAGCACTCATCAATGCATTCCTGATACAATGGGCAGAGCAAGGGCACATCCGGGAACATTGAAAGCCATGATATGTACTTAGGATTAGAACAGTTCTTGGGCCAACACTGTTGATGTTTTTCACGTCCGTGAGTACACAACTAGGCATAGTACTGAGGAACAGCTTTTCTTGTGGTTTTTAAAGACCAATAAGCTCTGGTGGCCATCTTGATTTGGGCTGACTCCAAATGTTATTCAGTAGGTGTCTATCTGACACTTTCTTAGAGTTTCAATGAAATCTATCTGCTGCTTCATGAGATTTTGCTTTCACCTAAGCAAGCATGTACGCACACAGACACACACACACAGGCACACGCTCACGCGTGCACACACACACACCACATAATGTAATATTGTGAATGTAAGTGCTCATACGCATCATTTTGGGGGTCCAAACCCCACCACCTTTACATTTTCATTACAGCCAAGTCTCCAGACCGCGTTATACCAGCATGGCCTTTTTCTGGCGAGCAGGCAGTTTAATCACACATACAGCTCTGCTCCATTTTCATTTCCTTTTCATGCAGCCTCCATCCTACTCCAGCTTCACAATTCTCCCCTCTGAGCTGTCTAGCCCGTCTGAGTGTTTGCAGCCTGTTGAAATGACATAATCAGTGACTTGGATAAATGTCTGACTGTTTTTCCTTGAGTCTATAATCAGACTTGGGGCTTAGCGTTGCAGCTATACGGTGAAAGCTCAGCACCAGCACTTGACTGGGGAATTATTTTCCTAAGACGGGTGGTTTCAGCTAAGGAATGTACTCAAGCATCAACGGAGTGAAATAGATTTGGGTACTGTGCATATTTTGGCCCAAACAAAACCAGAATAACATTTCAGACTTTCTGACAAATTAAAAGCTTATTCCTATTGTCTATAATACATGATTTTATAAACCATTATGTATTTTAGACTCTTTAAAAAGGGTATATAAGGACACGCATCTATCCAAAACGTTTGTGAATCTCTGAGCAGAACAAACGTATCAGAAATCTGTAAAACTAGATTTTAGAGGTGTGTAAAAATGATCACTCTGACATGTTCTGGTGAATCAAGCCATGCAAAATGATGATTCTTCTTATGTGAATCAGGTTGAGTCTAATTTGAGACCCAAACCAGATCACATTGGTCACACGAGGGAGGGAGCGAAAAAAAAAACGTGCAAACCAGCGCTGGATGAAATGAGTGAAGGCTGTAAATGCTTTCAGCAACTATTACTTCAGAGGGTGGACCACATTCAATCAATACCTAAGCAAATAAAAAGCAAGAGGCAGACAGAATGAAAAAAGCTGCAGTGGAGTGGATGACAATCACGCGCACAAATGAACACCCAGCATTCAAGTCTCAGTGAAGATGATAGAAAAACACTCTAGTTAAGAAAATCTTTTTAAGTCTTTGCACCTGATCAGTAATGGTTTCTTTAGGTAACACGGCTTGTTTGCTTGAAGAGACGTTAGAATTTATTCTGACTGGAAAAAAAAATCACAAATCAGTGACCGATAAATTAGGTCTTTAATAAAAAAAATCCAGATTAGTAGCAATTTCTTATGAACACAAGATCACAAGCAAAGAAAAGATCCTCTTTAATCCAAATGAACACATTTGAAATTTTGTTGTTTGAAAAACAAAATGTTAAATAATTAAAGCAATTCCAACTCTTATAAATTTATTTTTAAGGTCCTGTCTCTGCCTGAGCCTCAGTGTGGACGTGCACGTGTTCTGCATATTGAATTATGAATAACCGCAGCAAACGTGGCCTTTGTCATTAGAGTAAAAGCTTTCAGCAGGGCACTGGGAGCAGGATGGCTCTTTCCCCGTGACTTTAGACACCCCAAGTGTTTGTGCAGCATCCACGCATCGCTACAGAGCTGGAGGCTCTGGCTGTGATGCTAATCGGAGGTTCAATACAAAGCATGGTATCATAGGATTAAATGTATGAATGAAAGGTAAAATAATTTACTAATGCACTGTATTTTTCTGACTATGTTTCAGAAAAGTAAACACGTTTTCACAAATTAAATAAATCTGACCAAGCTATTAAAACTGGACAAATCAAACAAACTATTGAAGGTAATACTTGTTGTATTTGATCTAAACTCTTTACTGATTCTTTCCTTTAGCTCAGCTAGGCTAACACATTTAATGTGGATTCCTCACCTCCGCTGTAAGATGGATTAAAACTTTCTCAGTCTGATAGAAAATGAAGTCAAAAGATGAAAATCCCTGTAAATTCCACACAGTATTGTGTTATTTATTGTGCTTGTGCAGATCTTACTGTACGATGCTAGAAAATGCATAGCTGCTATATCACTGTTGAGTTTGCGATCAGTTGTGATAAACCCTCATGTTCCATCATCACGTTGTGCTGGCTCGGGGATTTAGAGGAGTCTTAGTCTTAAGGAAACTTTAATTTTGAAATGTATTGGACGCTTTTGCACCACTGAAATTGCAATCATTATTATTTAGGATAAATAGATAGATTTAGTGGGTATTTGCATCCATATTCATAATGATGAATGAAGCAAGCTGAAATCTGCGTTTTGATTCCATCCATGCAGGTATCTAATTAGTCTTTTCTCCTTACACAACCCAAGCACTTTTTTCCAACATGCAAACTCGCAAGGTTTAAATCTTGGACATAATTAAAGGGTGTCGACCCATGTCCCCTTTCTGTGAGGTTGCCAGTGTGAGGCTAACAGATGCCATGCAGCAGATCTTCATTGTGGACGAGTGGCCTAGATTCAGGACGTGTCGCCAAATCAGTCTTTGCAATAATTATCTCTGACAGGTGAAAACACACTCAACTTCCAGCTGGCTACGAAGCAGACAACTACACAAACACACACACGAGAAACAAAAAACACACAAACACACACACACATGTCAGCGTCCAACAGCAGCAGCCTAGGATGCGCCAGTTCCCGTTAAAACCATTAAGCACCGAGACATCTCCCGTTCCACGTGCACAGTGTGTATCCTGCTACTTCTGCACTGATACCCCTGATCCTCCTGCGCTTTGACAAGGCGTAATAAAGCCTGTATGAAGCACCGCATTGTGTGGGGAGAACACAATGTTGCATGCTGAGTGCTGTGAGAAGGGCGTACACCGGTGGGTCCCACGGCGCAGCGCAGCACCGCGGCCTATAGCAAGGAGTGCTGAGCATGCTAATGAGGTCATTATGTTATGCCTCCCCCTTGCTTCTGCTCGCCTTTACAGTGTGGGCTTTGCCTGTCACAGGAGGCAGGGTACCCTTGTGATGCAGCCAACCACAGATGTCACATATGGCACAATGAGAAGACACACGAGCATCTCCGAATCAGCCGCTCGGAGAGACACCAGGCGCTGCTGTACTTTCCAGCTGAAGCCTTAAACAGCATCAGCGATTTGCATACAGAACAAGGTGAGCTCACGGAGATGAGAAAAGAAAAGAAAGAAAAAAAAAGAGTAACAACGGACAACATTCATTTGCTAATTGTTCCTGCTGCGTATTCAATCAGGAACCGCTCGGCGCCACGTTTTCTTTCATCCCTGGCACCATTATTTACAGCCGAGGGGGAGGGGCTAAGCACCAAGCACATGCAAAGGCAATTACAAGATATTTGCATAGCCGTTAACAATCACGGGGCAGATGGCAAACAGCGGGCATTAAAAAAAACAAAAAACAGAAAGCGACTGAGCGCCATCTTGGCTGAGGGAGACAGCTGGCAGACAGAAATCAGCCATTTTGTAAGCATAGGTCGCTGCCAGGCTGAGGCGTAGCACGCCGTCAGCTTCTATCTGTGTGCCAGGAGAGTGGCAGGAAAAGGGTGGGGTGGGGTGGATCCTGCTTTAAGATCCGGGCGACTACAACCAGCTCTGTGTCAGATCACTGACTCAGTGAGTCTGCTTTTACTTTGAAAGGACACAATCCTTTGAGCATGGGTGTTATTTAACCACAAGTAAGAAAGTGTTTGTTTTATACTCACGGAGACACGTTCACTTCTGTTGGCGCCCGGTGTTTGGTCAGGAACCCGTCCACTCGTCCGCTCCGGGTCTCGCGGTCAAGAATTGGTTCTTCGTTTCTTTTATTTTCCTGCAGGTGTTCATTTCTACTCTGATGTTAAGAAGACTTTATCTTCAAACATTCGGTTGAGTCTCGTGGTGTTGAGGGGGATTTTCGTGTAGGAAGAGTGGAAAAAAGTCAGGGCGGTTCACAGGTACAACGGCAATCTTTTTCACTCCGTCTTTCATTCAATTAGCAGTCGTTCACTTGTTCTGCCATGGGATCCCTCGCTGCACAGCAGTAAGTGGACTTTAGGCACCATATACACACACACACACACACACACACACACACACACACACACACACACACACACACACACACACACACACACACACACACACACGCACACACACACATAGTGAGGGAGAGGGAGGTATGAAAAGTCGTCTTTCTCTCTTCCACCTCACAGATCAATAGCACACTGCCATATCCTCTGATGGGAGCTGCTGTTCTGAGGGTAGGAAAATCTAAGGCGAAAAGACAGCTTCAGTCTGATACAGCAGATGAGAGAAAAAGTTCAAATTGTCCTTTTATCCTGGCTCATGAGATCTTAGCAACATTGTGCGCTACGTGCTTGGAAATGGGACTGAGCTGAAATGTCCTGTATCGTCTCCGATGGATCCTCATTCAAAAAGGTAAAGGTGGAGTGAGCATTAGGAGCACGGCAGCTGGGGGGGGGAAGGGACATCATGTTTCATTCTTTTGTCGTTTCTCTCTCTCTCTTTCCTTTACTGTCTCCATTTCTCTCTGACACGTTTTACCAAGCTGTTGTTTGGTGCCAGAGGAAAAAAAAACCTCTGGGTGAACCACACATAAAGACAGTTTCTGGGTCTTCGCTTCCCGTTTTTCTCTCTGTTTCACACACACACACACACACACACACACACACACACACACACACACACACACACACACACACACACACACACACACACACACACACACACACACACACACACACACACAGCGAGTGGGGCAGTTGTGAGGTTGGGGCCCTGGCCCCGGATGGTGCTGGGACTTCTGGAGAAAGATAGAAAGAGAGATGGAGAGAGGAGCTGGGAGTAGTGGTGGTGGTTGGTCCCTGGGCTCTGAGGCCTGCAGGCGATGATGGGCAACCTCTGCTAGCCTCTCTCCTCTGTATTGATTTCTGCCTCTCCACTCTGCCGAGGAAGCTCCTAGCCGGCGGGGAATGAGAGCTCGGCTCACCCGCCTCACCTGCCTCTCTCCTGGATCGCCTGGCCTAGCCTGCCCACTCTGCTGCAGCTTTGGCTGGCCCCTGCTGGCTCTTTGGGACCCCTGTACGCAACACCGGGGCCACAGGAGGAAGCATCCAGAGAGCCCATGGCGATCCACAGCTGTGTTCACCTGCTCTGGGTTCACCCGCTTCCAACCACCTCCTCAAACTGCTTCTTCCACCCACTCTGCACATCTTCTTCCTCCTCCACTGGTCCCTCGCCCTCCTCCATCTGCACACAAACAAGCAGAGACAGAGATGGTGAAGAAAAAAACAAGTTAATCACAACTTTCAGGATTTTACCCACTCCGAATGTCAATCCTGCTCTTTGATCAGGAGGAAGTCAAGGGTGAGGATTTTGGCATCCTTTCTCGGCTGGTAATATGAACCTGCTAACCTCAGAGAGTGCAAACTGCAGAGAGTTAAGTGTGTCAGGCAGTCAGAAACTGCTTGCCAGCGGTACTCTCAGCTATTAGATTCTGATGTGCTGCAGATAGCAAAAGATAGCAAGAGAGGGCCCATTATAAAAATCACCACTGCGTCTATTGAATGCATTAAAAATATTAACAAGAAAAGTTATTTTTTTCTTGCAGGAGCACGAGTCACAACGCTGTATCAGTTTGGATTTATTAGTTTTCAAGAATTAGAGCAACAATTAAAGTTTAGAGGATATTCCCCACTTCCCTTTTTGTGGCAAGCTTGAGTGTGAAGGAATGGGAATGTTTTGGCCGGGTCAGTGGTACCCCATAGAAACTGTTTTAAAGAAAACATCTCAGCTTTTGTATCATCCAGAGTTATTCAAATTGGTTCAGCAGCCCTCTTCTTATGATAATAGCAGAGGAGGGTGGGGGGCATTTCTTTGAGAGGTTCGTGGTCCTGTTGTGTTCCTCAAAAGAAGGAAGAAAGCCATGTCCACATTTAGACCCCCTCCTGCTATCAGCAACTGCAAAATTGCCAAAATACCCTCGCCACAGTCGAGAACTGCAACAGGCCACATCTCTCCACCTCGCTGCGTGCCTTAAAAACAGACTAAAGCCCCTGGGTCGAGCGCCAGGGGAATAGAGAAGTAAAGTGCAGAGGTTTAGAGTCGGTGGGCCGGCAAGGCTTTGGAAGTTAGGGATTTCTGTTGAGGAGCAAGGAGGCGGGGGTGGAGGGGAGTTACACTGTTGGGACAAGCTCGGGAGGGGCCAAGTTGAGTTAGGGGGACATGCATGGGGACCCGCGGTGCGGTGTATGTCTCAGACACAATAATACTATTCATTGGGCTCAGACATGGGTGTTAACTCCCCTCTGACAGAGCACAATGGGACTCGGCAGCATTCAGGCAGCCTTGGTGATATTGTTAGTTCAGGGCTGAATTCTCCCTGCCGCAGGACAGAGCGCCCGCATTGTGCCCGTCCAGGCGGGATGGACGGAGGGAGGTTTGAGAGGTGAAAAGCAAAGAAAGAGAGAACTCTACGTCTGTCTATCTGTCAGGCCTGAAGGAGGGAGGACAGAGGGAGTGCAAGCCGGGCAAAGTCGATGGGGTGATGGTGGCGGGGGGTGCCACTGGACATATTTGTTTCAGGGTGGAATAAACAAGGAAAGATTCTGAATCTGAAAAGAAAATGTGTAGGAAATGCAACTCAGTCAGCTGAGAGCAGGACTGGAGGGACATTAGATAAGGCAGGGATCATGGACGTAATTTTTTTTTGGGGGGGGGGGTTTGTCCCCCACACTTTTTCCAAAGTCAAGTTTTGACCTCTGCACTTTTTACCATCTAAAAACAATATTATGCTATACTAAATTGACACTGGTTGAGCTCTAGGACCAAGTGGAAAACAACTGTTTGTGTTGAAGCCTGTTTCCCATTACAGCATACTGTAAAGATAACCCCCCCCCCCGTGCCCCCCCCCCCCCCCACACACACACACACACACACTTCTAAAGTGAAAATTACGTCCATGGCAGGGATGCAGCAGGAGGCAGTTTTGTGGACCACAAGCAGCTGGAAAGTTTCAGAGCATTTAGTGCACAAAAACAGGAAAGAGAGGGAGATATAAAATGTGGAAGTTTGCTGACATTTGTGCAAAACGTACACTGAAGGCAGCAGAAAACTGTTCTTAGTAAATGCAGTGTGTGGCCACAAGTTGTAGACATGACATTGCAAGAAAAATGTAAATTTCCAGTTAAAATTACACTAAAATGGTTCGTTTGACCATGTAAGCAACGAAAAATTGTTTTGTTTTTTTGCTAAATAATTTAATGGAGGGTCTCTGAAGCAAAGCAGACAAATATGTGAGGATGCAGAAGGTTCGGTTTGATAAACTTGTCTAACCAGTGACTAAATGTGACACACAAGCTGCGCTGGCACTCTCACTCAGAGTATCACTGCTCCTCCTGCACAGAACAACCTGCTCTCATGAACAGTACTTTGTTTGTTTCCCCTCTGGTAAACTCTGACCAGCCGTTCCCATAGCAACCATCTCGTTCTCAGTGCAATCATGTGTGTGTGTGTGTGTGTGTGTGTGTGTGTGTGTGTGTGTGTGTGTGTGTGTGTGTGTGTGTGGAGGCAGGAAGAGTGAGAGAGGTAGAGTAAGTGGGGTAGTGTGGAGGTTTAAGATCGGGACTCCATCATATTCTTCATGCACACAATAGGAACCTTTACTTGGTTCAGTGAATGTGCCCTGCTGGATTCTGATGAACAAACAATAAGCTAATTAGAAAATGATGTCTCAAGTCTTCCACATGTGTGTTTTTCCCTCCAACAGTCTGAAGCTAGAAGCTTAAATCCAGTTGTGATGGTGGAATCCCTGGAAGGCCGGCACATGGCTCTCGTCAGGGGGCTAATGCCCTTCAAAGGTGGCTAAGTAGTGAAGGTAGTGCCCTTTGTCCCTAGTGGAGGATTACACTGGTCAACCAGTTCAGACAACGTACCCCCCTCCTGGGATGGGAGGACCAACCTGCTCTCCACCAATGACAGGGGCAGTCAACTGATCACTAACTTAATTTAGGACAGATGAAAGTAAAACCAGGGGAGGACGACCTGTGCAGAAGTCAGAGAGGGGAGCTGAGAAAAAAATAGAGTCATGGAGTGGTAAAAAGGGATAAAGAGGTGAAGAAAAGATGACAAGAAAGAGGCATGAGGAGCATTTGGGGACACGTTAAAATAAGAAGAGACACGAAGTTAAAAAGAGCAATGGGGAGCAGAGCAGGGGTGAAGAGAAGGCTTCTCTAGACACGGGATTAAGGAAGAGGAGATGAAAGGATCAGGTCTAAAGGTTGGTTTATGCTTGACGCGTCCGTGAGGTTCGCACGGCTCCGCGCGGAAAAGTTGCGTCATTTTAACAACCACGCCCCTCCACCGCGCCTCCACACGGCCCAAAATTTCCGCAACGCGCACCTCGGAAATTTTCTAACCACGTGGATGGTCGGACATGGAAAAACATGGCGGACCGGCAAGAACTAGCTATGGCAGAGGTTCGTAAATACAGACATTTGTATGATTCAGCTCTCAGAGATCGCCGTGATCAACATGTTGTTAATAATTCTTGGAGAGAAATAGCTCGCACTGTCGGAAAAGACAAGGACGCTGTTAAAAATGCTGGAATGCCATGTTGTAAACACTAATTTCTACTTCTACTAGTGTAGTGTTGGATGCATGCCGTAGAGCTCCATGCTGCCCCTACAGTTTGGGAGAA